AATCACCAAGTGCATCCCACTGGGTCTAGCAAGGCAGGGAACCGATCCTTCCCTTGCACCGCTTGGTCTGTTCTGGACAAGGCCATGGGATGTTCTGTTCACCACAGGACGATAACAAGAGCAGAGCCATGAGGAGGTCTCACCTTTTCAACTGTTGCTGCAACAAGATCTAACTTCTCCCCCCTTGTTGCCTGCAGGAGCTGGCGTTCCTGGCATCGCTGGCGTCCCCGGTGTCCCCGGTGTCCCCGGTGTCCCCGGAGTCCCTGGTGTTCCTGGTGTTCCTGGTGTTCCTGGTGTTCCTGGTGTCCCAGGCGTGCCCGTCGTGCCTGGAGTTCCTGGCGTGGTGCCTGGTGTCGGAGGTGAGCTGCTGGGCTGTCCCCAGCCGGTGGGGTGCCGCTGGCATTGCCTGTCCCCTCACTGTCCCTCGTGTCCCCGCAGTGGGTGGCCCGGCAGCCGCAGCGGCCGCTGCGAAGGCGGCAGCGAAAGCCGCAGCAATCGGTGAGTCCCCACCAGCCCTTCCCTGGGGGGCAGGAGGGATGTTTGCCCGTGGGTGAAGTGGAAGGCACTCTGGTGCTCTGGATGGTGGGGAGGTCAGTGGGACTCCTGCTGCGGAGCCTGCCTGCTCGGCCACATCCCGGGACCTTTCTGCGGGAGCAGGACGCGTTCCCGGTGTCGGCGTTCCCGGTGTCGGCGTGCCCGGTGTCGGCGTTCCTGGAGTCGGTGTGCCTGGAGTCGGTGTGCCTGGTGTGGGCGTGCCCGGTCTGGTGCCTGGGGTTGGCATTCCAGGTGAGGTGGTGCCCGTGGGACACTCAGGTGTCCCCAGCGGTGCTGGCTGAGGGTGCCGGTGTGGCCACCGCGGCCCCATCGCTGCCCCTCTCCTTCCCTCTCCCCCAGGAGTTGGTCCTGCAGCCGCCAAAGCAGCCGCCAAAGCAGCCAAGTTTGGTAAGCCGGGATCTCTCTGGGGTTATCTCACCTGTCCTGTCTCCTGCTGCCCCCCGCCCTGGCTGGGGCAGAGGTCCAGCCCTGTGGGTCGTGGTGAGGGATGAGCTCTCCCCGGGGCTGTGGGTGGAATGAGGTTCTGGCTGAGTAGGGCTGCTCTCCAGAGAGCTGGTCTGGATGGAGGGTCCAAGGTTCACCATCCAAACACCTCATACATCAGTCCATCCACACTGTCTTCTACCCACCACCACCCTCCTCAGTATCCATCTGTTCCCTTCCCTGTACATCCATCCACAGCTCCAACCATCCACCCATGTATCTCACCATCCATTCAACCACTCCACATCCATCCATCTCAACCGTCCATCCATTCATCAATCTCACTATCCATCCAGCAAGCTCACTATCCATTCAGCCACTCACCATCCATCCATCCATCCATGCATCCATCTCAGCATCCATCCATCCATCTACATATCCATTTCACTATCAACCCATTCATCCATCCATCCTCTAACTGCCCACCCCAGCCTGCCATGCCTTCTCAGCCCACTCCTCCCACCCCTTCTCTCCCTGAGCCAAAGCCCCAATCCCCCAATTCCCTCTCTCCTTGCAGGAGCAGTTCCCGGTGTAGGTGGCCTTGTTCCCGGTGTAGGTGGCCTTGTTCCCGGTGTGGGTGGCCTGGTCCCTGGTGTTGGAGGCGTCCCAGGTGAGGAGGAGGGAGGTGGATGCTGGTGGGCAGCCTGGCTGGTGCAGGGACAGTCCTGGTGCAGGACAGGCGTGAGGAGAACCTCGGTGGTCTCCATCAACTCATGGTTCCCCCTGGGGGGTTGCAGACAAGGCTCTGCCCAGGTTTGCTGAGGGGACCCTCCATGGGTGCTGAGACCCTCCTGCTGTCTCCATGCAGGGGTTGGGGTTCCGGGCGCAGCAGCGAAAGCAGCAGCAAAGGCAGCGAAATTCGGTGAGTCGGCCAGAGAAACCCATCACTCACACCCGGGGGCACCTGCACGGGCACAGACTGGGGCAGGGAGCGGTGGGGGTGGGCACCCTGTGCCAGGCACATCACCCCATGCAAGAATGGGGATCACGCAGGGATCACCCCGTGCTGCCTCACCCTCTCTCCGCAGGAGCCGGGGTCGGAGGGGTGCCCGGCGTTGGTGTGCCCGGCGTTGGTGTGCCCGGTGTTGGTGTGCCCGGTGTTGGTGTGCCCGGTGTTGGTGTGCCCGGCGCGGTGCCCGGTGTTGGCGTGCCCGGGTTGGTGCCAGGTGTGGGAGTACCTGGAGCTGGTGTCCTCCCCGGGGCAGGTATGTGCTTTGTCACACCCTGCCTGGGGCCCTGCTTGGGGACAGTGGTGGCTGGGAACGCTGAAAGCCACCGAGCCAGGCAGAGGGGTGGCAGAGGGGGATGGAGGCAGGATGGGGGATTGTGGCACGTGGGAGGGGGTGCAGGGGTGACCATCCTAACTGTGGTGTCCTCCTTCACTTGGCAGGCATCCCCCAAGTAGGTGCTAAACCTCCCAAATTCGGTAAGTATCTCTGCCACCCTGCCCCGGGTCCATCTCCGACTGTCCCCAGGCACCCTCCTCATGTGGCCGTCGGGGTGCTGACTTTGTGTCCCCTGCATGTCCCCTTGTGCCCTGGTGGCCCAGGCGTGGGAGGTGGTGTGCTGTCGCCCACGAGTGCAAAGTGCCACCTGTCCCCCCATCTTAGACACGCTGGGGACGTTTTTCTCCTGCGTGTGTCACAGGTGCTGGGGACACCCAGGATGGGTGCCAGGGCCACCTGGCTGGGAGTGCTCTGAGCTGGGGGTGCCGGGTTGCAGGGGGACAGCCATTAATGTTCCCTTTCTGGCAGGTGTGCCCGGAGCTGGAGTGCCAGGAGTCGGTGGCCTCCCAGGTAAGTGCTGGCAGGGGCCAAGCCTAAGCAGTGGGGATGTGCAGGCAGAGGGATGCTCCCCCAGAGGGATGTGGGCAGCAGGATGCTTTCCCAGAGGGATGCAGGTGGAGGGATGCTCCCCCAGAGGGATATGGACAGAGGGACGCTCCCCCTGGGCATGGAGGGAGTGGGGCTGCCCAAGAAAGGATGGGCACACTTGGGGCTGGACAAGGAGTGGATCAGACACTGCCTGTCCTCACTGCTGCTCCCCCATCATAGGTGGCCTTGGAGTTGGTGGCCTCGGAGTCCCTGGGCTTGGTGTTGGTGAGTGATGCTGGCCCTGGCACTGGGGCTCCCAGGGCTGGGCTGCAGGGAATGGCAGCAGAGTGCCCAAAAGGAAAGGGGTCTATGGGATGAAGGAGATGCAGGGTCACTTTTGTCCCACCCCACACTGTCACCCTGTGCCCTATCCTGTGCCTGCCACCTGCCCTGCTCCCAGGGTGTGATCCAAAGGGAATGCCACTGCTGAGCAGGGACTGAGGGCCATAACACTGGTGTTGCCTGTGCCATGGGAACAGGGGATGGTCCCATACCACATCCCCCATATGTGGAGCTGCAGGTCCCTCCTGGGGACCCTCTGGGCCTGCAGAAGGGTCTGGCTGCAGCCCTGGGGGCAGTGAAGTTGGGGCAGGGGCTGTGCTGCTGCCCCTCTCTGACACAGGACTCTCATATCCAGGAGCTGCTGGGAAACCTCCCAAGGCGGGTAAGGAGCAGCCAGAGGGGCTGCAGGGGTGACTCCAGTCCCTGTCCCCACCCTGTCCCCATCCCATGGTCCCCACCCTCACTGGGGCTCTCCCATTGCAGGTTTTGGTGCTGGTCTAGGTGAGTGCTGTGGTTTGGTGCTGGGGTGGGAGCATGTCCCCCACCACGCCACACTTGTCCCCACTTGCTGTCCTCACCCTGCTGCCACTCCCTGCTGAGCACTGGGAAGCCACATGGGTGCCATGGCAGGGACAGGGACAGGGACTGAGCAAGTAAACCCAGCCAGGGTGTCCCCAGCCCAGGCTGGGGTGGCACTGCTGTCACTGGCTGTCACTGGCTGTCGCTTTTTCCCCAGGGGTTGGAGTTCCCGGCTTCGGCGTGTCACCGATATTTCCAGGTACCACCCCCAGCACACACCCCGGGCACATCCCGGTGCCTGCCCGGCTCCCGGGGATATGCAAAGCCCACGGAGCACAGGGCCACGGCCACGGCCCGGGGAGGGACCCCGGGGGCTCTGCTGAGCCGGGGGGGCTCAACTGGGGGGTGCAGGGCAGAGGGATGTGGGTGCCCAGTGGGTGCTGAGGGCTTCGCTCTCCTTCCAGGTGGGGTCGGCGCCCCGCTGGGATTTGCTGGTGAGTGTCCATCCCCCCCGCGCGGGGCGTTTTTGGGGTGGGGGGGTGCGCATCCCCCCTGCACCCCGCAGCCGCGGGGGGTCTCGCTGACCCAGCTCCCCCTTCCCCCTGCAGGGAAGCCCCCCAAGGCCTACGGAGGAGCCCTCGGTGCCCTGGGCTTTAGAGGTGAGCGCTGGTGCTGGGACCGGCTCCTGCACCCCTTGCCCTTCTCCCACACTCCCCCAGGGGTCTGGGGGTGCAGGGGGGGCTCACCCCGTGCATCCCCCCCCCCCATGGCAGGCGGCGTGGGCTGCGCAGCAGGGAAGTACTGCGGGAGGAGGCGGAAGTAACCGCGGCCGTCACCGCTGACCTCATGAACTTTGGTGCTACTGCATGGTCCAGAATGTAAATCCCGAGCAAAGCTGAGACGCCCCCCCCCTTCCCCAAAAACCCCCCGTCCATCCCGGGGCCATCCCCGGCCCCGCGTTCCCAGGAGGGATCCCGCACCTCCGGCAGCATCCGTCGCCCCCCAGCCCCTCGGTCCCGGCAGGGAGCGCGGAATAAACTGCGGGGAGCAGCCGTCCCCCTTGGTGCTATCGCTCTCTGCGGGATTTTGGGGGGGGCTCGGGGTGTCGCGCCCCTCCCCAGCCCCAGAGCTGACCCCCCCGGGGGGGGGGGGCAGGATGAGGGGTACCTCACATTGGAGGAAGGGAGGGAGGGAAGGGGATGCCGGCGGCGGGGGCTGCACGGGGCGGGATGGCCCCGTCGGTCCCCGCGATCCCCCCGGTCTGGGGGGGCCGCGGGCAGGAGGGGCTCGGTCCCTTCGTGTTGCTCACTTTGCTATAACTGGGTGGGACGCCCTTATACAGAGGGACTCGCTTCTGACAGACTAATAAAGGACAAGTTTTTAAAGGATTCTGGCTCTGTCCTGTGTCCGTGTCCCCTTCCCCGGGGTGGTGGCAATGATGAAGGAATCCAGCCCATGTCACTGCCCCCGATCTTGTGCCCATGGCTCTGCACAAGCCTGGGGACATGCTGGGTCCTTGGCACAGCACTGTACTGTCACAGCTCTGGGCCACAAGGTGAGGGGACAGCCTGGACACCCCGGGGCTGCCCCTGCCCTGTCCCACAGTGCCAGCCCCAGGGATGGTTGGGGTGGCCATGGCCTATCCCACAGAGATAGGTCCCCCAGGAACCCAGGGGGAGGTCCATGCCCTATCCTAGGGGTGAGGGGAACACCTATGCCTTGTCTTAGGGCAATGGCCTGGGGGACAAGGAGGATGCTCAGGGAACTCAGGAGGACTCAGGATGTCTGGGAACTCAGGAGGAGGCCCCTGCCTTCCCTAGGATCACAGCCTGAGGACCAAAGGGGATGGCCATGGTGCCAGCCCAGGGCATGGCAAATACACCCAGGCGCTATCCCAGGGTGACAGTACATGGAATAAAAGGGACATCCACGCCTTGCCTGGTGGTGCCAACCCACGGACACAGCATGAGGTCTGTGCCCTGCCCCATGGTGGTGGCCTGGGGGCACAGGGGGACGTCCATGCCCTGTTCCACATTGACAACATGGCGAATGAGAGGGATACCTGTGTCACACCCCACACTGACAGCCCAGGGTAGATGGGGACACCCATGCCCTGATCACAGTGACAGCCAGGGTGTGTGGGGACACCTGTATTGATCAGGGATGGGTGGGGGGAACACCTTTACTCTGTCCCAGGGTAACTGGGGACACCATGGCAGGTGGGGACACCTGTGCCTTGCCCAGGGGGGTTGCCTGGGGTAGATGGGGGCACTCATGATGGTTAGGGATGGGTGAGGACACCTGTGCCCTGCCCATGGAGCTGGCTGGGGTCACCATGGCATATGGGGACACCTCTGATGGCCAGGGGTGGGTGGGGACACCTGTACCCTGGCTGGAGATAGTTGGGGGCACCACAGCGGGTGGGGACACCCATGATGGCCAGGGGTGGGTGGGGGGACACCCATACCCTGCCCACGGGACTGGCCCGGGGTATTTGGGGACACTCGTGCCGGCCAGGGATGGGTGGACCAGGGTAGTTGGGGACACTATGCTGGGTGGGGACATCCATGATGGCCAGCGGTGGGTGGGGACACCCGTGCCCTGCCCACAGTGACGGCCCGCAGGTCCCGGAGCCCCCGGACACCCCCTGCCCCCAACCCGCACCCGCGAGCCCCGCCCACACTCCTGACCACGCCCGTCCAACCTGACCACGCCCCAATCGCGACCACGCCCTCTCCGACCACGCCCAATCCACGCCCCGGGCCCGGCCCGGCCCGCGTCCCTCAGGCCCCGCCCATTGCCCCCGTGGCCCCGCCCCCCGCGCCCAGGCCCCGCCCCTCTCGGCCGCGCCGGCGCGGTGCTCCCGCCGCGGTCCCGCCCGCGGAGCCGCAGCAGGGCCGGGGGGGCCCGACCGGGACAGGGGGACACGGGCAGGGACAGAGGGACGGGGACAGGGGCGCGGGAGCGGCAGGGCCCGGCGCGGCGCCGGGCAGCGCGGCTGCATGAGGTTGATGCTGCTGTGCTGCACCTGGAGGGACGAGCCTATGGGAGAGGACGAAGGTGCGTGACCCCCCGAGCCCCCCTCCCATCCCCGCCTGACTCAGCGCTTCCGCCGCCGCTGGGGCACCGAGACCCCCCCCAACCCGGCTCCACAGCGCCCGCCGGCCGGCCTGCGGACCCCCCGCGTCCGCCCCGCATCCCCTCTGCATCCCCCGCATCCCTCCCGCATCCCTACATCCTCCTCTGCAACCCCCATCCTGCGGCTTTACATCCCCCCCTGCATCCTCCACATGTCCGCCGCGGTCCCCGACCGGCCAGCATCCCCCTTACATCCCCAAAACTCCCCTTACACCCCCTGCTCACCCTGTATCTCCCCCCTGCACTCCCCATCCAGCCCGCATCACCCCCTGCATCCCCCCTGCATCCCTCTTCTGGCCTGCATCCTCTTGCACCCCCATATCCCCCCTGCACCCACCATCCAGCCTGCATCCCCCCAGCATCCCTACCTCCTCCTCTGAGACCCCCATCCTGCTCCCTGACATCCCCCCTGTAACCCCCACATGTCCTCTGCCCTCCCCAGCCACCCTGTGTCCCCCCTGCACCCATGAATCACCCCCTGCACCCCTCATCCAGTCCACATCACCCCCTGCATCCTCCCCTGCATCTCTTTTCTAGTCTGGATCCCCCTTGCACCCCTGTATCCCCCCTGCACCTTCTGTTCAGGCTGCATCCCCTCTGCACTCCCAAATCTCCCCCTATACCCATTGTCCAGCAGTTTCCCCCTGTGTACCCTGTGATCCCATCCTTGTGAACCCCCACATCTCCCTCTGCACCCCTGTACAGCCTGCAGCCCCTCCTGCACCCCCTACATCCCCTTTCCTGCACCCCACATCTCCCCCTGCACACCCCTGTGCCCCTACTGCACCCCCAAAACCCTGCATCCCCACATCCCCTCCAGCCTGCATCCCTGCCTGCACCCCACAAACCCCCTGCATCCCTCCCTGCATCCCACATCCCTCCTGCACCCTACAAACCCTCTGCATCCCTCCCTGTACCTGCACATCCCTGCCTGCACCCCACAAACCCCCTGCATCCCACATCCCTCCTGCACCGCACAAACCCTTTGCATCCCTCCCTTGCTCTGCCTTCCTTCCACTCTGCACCCCAGGGCCCCCTCATGTCTCCCCACACCCCCCAAGAACTTGCACCCCCAGGACCTCTGCAGTCACCCTGCACCCCTCTGTGTCCCTCCCCCCACCTCCACATCCCCCCAGGGACCCCCTGTGCGCCCCTGCACTGTTTATCCATCCTCCAGTCCCCCACCCTGCACATCTCCGTGTCCCCCCATGCACCCTGCACCCCTTAGCACCCACCCTGCACCCCCTGTTCCCCCATTCATCCCCCAGCACCCACCCTGCACCCCCTGTGTTCCCCCATTCATCCCCCAGCACCCACTTTGCACTCCTTGTGTCCCCCCATTCATCCCCTGCTATATCTTGAACCCCCCCATCCTCCCTGTCCCCCTCTCTGCACCCATCATGCACCCCTTCACCCCTCCTACACTCTCTGCACCCATCCTGCCCCCTGTACCACTCTCTGCACCCACCTTACATTCCTTCAGCCCCCTGCAGCCACCCTGCACCCCTGTCCCCATCCTGCTCCCCTGCATCCCCCCTGTCCCCATCCCTGCACCC